AAAAAGAAGAAGAAAAATAGCAGATAAAATACACACGAAAAATCTTGGACATTATTTTAAAACATTGAAAGGAACAAATTATGTTTTACAAGTTTTTAATCAAAATTTTTGAAAAAACATTAAACATTGTCAACTGTTTAGGTTTTTTATAATTTAGCCATAAAACAAAAGAATAAATAAATAAATAAATAAATAAATAATAAAAAACCCTTTTTTTTTTTTCTTGTTACTTCTATTGCTCTATTTTTCTGTTCACACATATCAACTGTTCAACTGCACTTTTTCAGTCGTCGAGTACTTGGAGTAAGTTCCGGTATTGAAGTAACTGGTGAAATTCGATGGGATTTAGCATTCTATTTATTTTTAGCCTGGACAATTTGCTATTTGTGCATCTTCAAAGGTGTCAAATGGACTGGAAAAGTTAGTGACGAGTTTTTTTTTTTTGCACTGAATTTGTTTTTGTGCAAATTTTCTTGAATATTATTACTATATCAATTTAGTAGCCTATTTTACTTTCTTTTTATTTTGTCTTATTTTTTTTTTATAAGTTTAGGTAGTTTATATAACAGCACTGTTCCCGTACTTGATGCTTTTTTGTCTGCTGATAAGGGGTCTTACGCTGGAAGGCGCTAATGTTGGCTTGGAATATTATTTAAGTCCAGATTTTACAAAACTACAAGAAAGTAAAGTATGGATTGATGCTGTAACACAGGTGTTCTTCTCCTACGGGCTTGGCCTTGGTGCGCTGGTAGCCCTTGGAAGTTACAACAACTTCTCAAACAACGTTTACATGTAATATTTCATTATTTTTCTTCACAACTATGATCTGCTGTTCTCAATGTTAAGTTTCATATTTATTATATCACCATGAGACAAATGGTGCGATCCAGCAGTTGGAAAACGGCGTTATTGAATAGAATTGGAAAAAATTAACTCTCTTTACGTTCGTCATTTTACTGCCTGAAATTTTAACGTTAAAACAAGGAGGTTTTTAGGCAAGCACTAACTGTATGTTTTGTAAACAGTGGTACCAGTGTATTTGCTGGTTTTGTGGTCTTCTCTTTTATTGGGTATATGGCAACGCAACTTGATAAATCGGTTGAAGAGGTCAATTAAATCTTTTATTTTTTATTTACTCTCGTTACAGTTGTACATGTTTTTTAGAATCTTGCTAACATTCTTCTTCTGCAGTTTTCAATAGACTGGGTGTTTGTTTAGGTTGCTCAGTCGGGTCCTGGACTGCTATTTCTGGCTTATCCGTCTGGAATTCTACAGTTACCATACACACATATCTGGTCAATATTATTCTTTACAATGGTTCTCTTCCTCGGAATTGACTCGCAGGTAATTGGCAGAATTATCAAAAATAAAAAAAAAAAATTAAATTAGTGTCTGAAAACACAAGTTACTTGAAAGATTTGATATATATTTGTCTCGACTTTGGTTTGTTCTGTGCTGTATTTTTTCCTCTTTTTCTTAACTTTTATTCTAATATATACTTCATTTATGGTGCATTTAGTTTTGTACCATGGAGGGTTTCTTTACTGCAATAATTGACGAGTTTCCCGAAATGATTCGCGGCAAAAACTACGGTCGAGAAATATTCATACTTATAGTTTGTGTTATTAGTTATCTTCTTGGCCTTTCTACAGTTACTCAGGTAAATCATTAAATTCATAGATTTTTTGTGTAGTTTTACATGAGTACCTATTACTTTTTCTGCAATGTAAGGTAATCAGACCTAGTAGAAAATCAGTAACTATACTCGATTCAAACCACATGACTAGACTTTATTAAAGTGCTGAAGTATTCTGCCTAATTCTTCTTTTTAAGCGTACCTTAAAATACTTGTAAAACAGTAATACACTTTTCAGCGTGAAACCTCAATGGAAATAGTATAAAAAATAGTGAGTAAGTAAGAAAAGAATGTGCTAATTGTTGTATTTCAGGGTGGCTTTTATGTCTTCCAACTGTTCGATTTTTACGCTGCTTCTGGGTCAGCGTTGTTATGGCTTCTGTTTTTTGAATGCATAGCTGTCTCATGGAGTGTTGGTAAGTCTGCAAAATTTTCACATTCAAGGATGACTTTTACTGGTTTTTCATCTATTTATTTAAATAACTTCTGTATCATCGTTAACGCTTAATAATAATTTTGTATCATCGTTGACGCTTAATGGATAGAACAGTAAGAAAGGTTTAGCTATCCTTCTTTGTTTCCAACTTTTTAAATTTGGTAATGATTAAATTCGGAATGACTTTGCAATAATATTTCTGGCATTGACCGGTGGTACGATCACATGAAAGCAATGATTGGGTATTATCCAAGCCGATGGTGGAAATTCTGTTGGGTTTTCGCCACTCCTGCAGTTTGTATGGTAAACTTTTTAAGGAAATGAAATATTTTTTATTTTTAATTTTTTTGTTCTAAGTTTTATATTAGCTACTTCAACATCAACTTTTCAGGGCGTCTTCATCTTTGGTATAGTCAAGTACGAACCGCTTCGAATTGCTGCTTACAATTACGATTATCCCTTGTGGGGTCACATTTTAGGATGGTTTTTATCACTGTCGTCTATGCTCTGCATACCTGGTTATGCTCTTTACTTATGGATCTCAACAGAAGGTTCATTTTTTGAGGTAAACCAACATTTTTTTATATCAATAAATGTTTGTTAAAGCCACATTTTTTGCGCTAGATTAATTTAAATAGGAAGCAAATGTTTAGTAACAGTTAGTTTTGTCATAATTTTTTGCATAAAACAGTTACTTGATTGTTGTAGTTCTGATCATTGTATCATTATCAACTGATGACTATTTGTAGAAGTTTGAGTTACTTTTTCGACCAAACGTTGAACTGGAAGGAGTAAGAGACCAGTATGCTCTTGGTGTAGAGCTATTCACTTTTGATTGACGAAGCAGTTTTCGTTTTAAACGGAAAAGCTATATTATTCTTGGATCTCGCCACTGATTAATGCGACTTACGAGTATAACGTCAGGTGTTTTTTTTTTGTTTGATGAGTGATCCGTTATAGACGTGTACCATAAGCACAGCTGCACAAAGATTCTGTACCGAAAAAGTATAGTAGAAGAAGAAGAAAAAGAAAAAGAAAAGAAAGAGGAAAGAGGAGAATGAGTGGTCTTTGCTAATCCAAACTTCTTCTTTTTACAGTTGGTATGCTGGTCTCAAGACAGTTTACATTTTATTCACTGAACTTCATTTTTATCAATAGCGTCATATCAGTCTCAGTTTAATTCCTTTTACAGTTTTTTTTTCTTTTTGATACTCAGTCAATTTTGACAGTTTATTTGAAAGCATACAGCAGGGGAAAACAGTTGCAAATCCTGAGAGAAAAATTTTTTTAATAACCTTTTGTTGCAGCTGCTGAAGTTTCGTATTAGTTGCAAAAAAAAAAGAACAATTTTAATTAAACTGAGTTGCGTGAAAAAAAATGGTAGACGAAACAATATACAGTAATTTAATTTTACTTTTTTGACAATCTTATTGGTGCGATATGTGTAAGCAGACCTCGTTATCATATCCTCTATCTTTACTATATCTGAAATTTTTTTGTCTTTTAACAAGAAACTGTGATAATGATTGTTGTCGATCATAGTATGTTGACTACAAATATGTCCCAAGCTAACGGTATTCACATGGAATTTGAAAATTTTGAATGGTTGAAAAATTATTTGAAGTAAACGGTACTGCGAAGAATATGATAGTATTTTTCTTCTTTTTTCTCTTTTGCCAAGAAATTGTTCAACATTTCCATTATTGCTATTTTTTGTGCATTATTATTATTGTCTTACTCTAAATATTCCTTGATATGGGCTCCATAAAAAGCTGTACAATTCTTCTGGTTGTTCCTTGGTCGTTTTGTGGCTACTTTACTAAACAACAATTTGATAAAAGCATATTATGGCGCTTCGTATATTCAGTAAGCAACTAAATATCAACAGTAACTTATTTTTTATGCACATGGCATTATATTACTCTTCATTCATTAATTTTATGAAATTTTAATGACAGCTAAGCCTTCAGTAAAAGGCATGAAAGGTTAACAAGCGAATTGAACAGTTACACCTATTATGAAAAATTTTCGCTACTAGAGAAAAGACAAGAATATTTATTAAGAATTGTTGTACAATATAAAGCATTGGATCACTACGCAAACTGTTCGCTTTTGAACTGTAGGGACGGGTTCAGTAGCACCTAAGAAAGTGACAGAAAAACGGCAACGGACAAACGGACACTGATGACAGTAGGTCAAGACTAAATCGTTGCGTAGCTCCGAAAACCAGTGGTTTAGATTCTTCGTATGCCATCAACACTGGTCCGGTCGAGCAGTGATCGATCACATTGTCTTGACAATGCCATCGATCATGCTAAAGTAGTCATTTCTCCTTTAATCTTTCTAATGCATCGAATAAAATGTATAAGTAGTCAACAAGATCAACTGTTACTTCCCGTGCATGAAAGCGTCAAACGGTGACTTAAGTTTATCGACAGCCCTAACATTTAGTAAAATTTATAGGCAAAGGTTAACGTCGAATAGCTTCAACAGCAGTTGCTTTTTACATTCAACAACAAAAGGGTTCTGATGAATCAAACAATAACCCTTTGAAAATATTTACTGCTGTCTATAGAACAAAAAAATTTCCTTTCCTCAGAAAACATTTTTTTTTTGTTTGTTCGAGCATGAAAAGATTGAAATAAACAGGTAGTTGAGTGGGGTAAAAAACGAAAAATTTGAACATAGGTGTAAGATAAGAAAGCATAATCAGAAACAATAATTCATTAAAATTAATATTGTGTATCTTAAAGAATAGTGGTGGGAAGAATAGAAAAGTAGAAAACTTTTTCTGGAGAAATCAAAGTGTGTTTCAGATGTTAAGTGCGTTTTTAGTGCAACAAAACAAGAAACCAAAGTCTCTTATTTGCCCTCTGTTCCCTCTTGACTTCTCCTTTCCAAATCTCTCACAAGTTCTCCAGTACTTTACCAACCTAAAGAGCACAACTTTAAATGCCAGCAAGTAGCATTTTGCTCTGTAACTTGGATGTACGGCACAGTAAAAAGAAAAGAAATGAAAACTTAATTATTGCATAAATTTCTCTTAGAATGCACTTGGCTGCTTGCCAGAGCAAATAGTTGCTACTAATTCAAATGGATGATTGAAACTTGTTAAACTAGTGTTAAATTGAGCCTGATGGGTTGATGAAATGAATAAACTTTTTTTAGAATATAAACTAATCTACAAAATTTTATAGATAGTGTTAATAGTTGGTGTCAAAACTTTTAAGATAAACAGTTGTTACCGTAAGCTGACTTAAGCACTAAAATTAAGAAATACGGATCGTTTTTACGTTCTACTGCATCAGTATTGAAATTAGATCGTAAGTTATTATGATACTTCAGTATGTTGAGAAGAAAAATAGGCATTTATTTGCTGTTTTATTTGATTTCTAAGACCTAATTACATGTCGTTCTGTGTATGCCTTGGTAACAGTAACTTTTTTTGCTTGATTGTTTAAAAATCAACTGAAACATTTTGTTCTGGAAGGTCGATTAAACAAATAAAATCTGATAAAAAAGTCATGCTTTACAAAAATTTAGAACTGTGCAAAGAATGAACGTGTTTTGTACTTAAATGAGCGGCAACAACAAACGGTATATGAAGAAATAAAACACGAAAATATTTTTGTTATCCAAATCTGCTTTGAATAAAAACACTGTTTTAACTGTAGTCACATGACAGTTCTTCAGATATATGATAGCAAATGTTGTAAAACAGCAAACATCGAAGCCCTGCTTTGAAATTGAAATTATAGCATCCATTGCCACTGTAAACAATGAAAGTTTAGATTTAATGTAGTGCCAAACCCGCAATTAAAAAATGTTAATTTTTAGACTAGTCTATCTATATCGTTAACTATTACTCTGTTCTCATCACCTTCTAATTGAATAAAGCGAATAAGTTTAATAAAAATTATTAACATCTGGTAGCTTTAAAAATTTAGGCGTTAGAAAAGTTCCGATTCGACACTGGACCATATTTTTTCCAGAATTAATATCAACAAGCTAGAAAGTTTACTGGCTTAACAGAAAAGAAAAAATGAACTAAAAGTTTGGTAAATTTGTATCTATAAATTTATGGCAACTTTTTTTTTTTTTAAATTATCCCAATATTCAAAAAGCTAACAAAAAAGTTGTTAACTAATTAAACAGTCACAGGATAATGGTAAATTTGCTGGTAATGCTGCATATGATGATTGTAGAAAATTAAATTCATCTAACATATTTGGAACGAAGGATTGTATTGTAGTTACCACGTTGCAGATTCAAAGGTTCAGCAAGCTTTCAGATGACAGTACGACATTGTCAACTGACCAACGTTTCAGCATTGTCAAGCGATACTCAGACAGTACGGTCTCTGTGTCAAAACAGGTGCTTCTTCACGTGTAGCCAAAAAAAAAAAAACGTTCCCATGCCAGCGTCATTATGAATGTCCTTCTGTAATGACTAAGAATTGACAACAGTTTAAATTGTGCTTGAAAAGGAAATGGATAAGTTCAAGCATTCAGTATGTGCTTCAGTTTTTGTTCTGCTTATACAGAAGACAACAACTAAGGAGTAAAAACCAAAATATTTTTAATTGCTTTTATTTTTTAAAAGAAGAGGAAAGTAAGTTTCCAATTATCTGGTTTCTTCTTGCCTCTTATAGTCTGTCCATCAACTTTCAAAAATTTTACTTTATCTTTTTTTCTACACTCTTTTTTTATTTTATTTTTTTCGTTTCTTGACCTCATCAAATAGTCGGGCAGTTTAGGACAGACAAATTTGGTCGTATTTTTCAGCAATTAAAAGAATCCAAAATGAAAAAATGATTGAACAGAGTTGAACGGTAAAGACGTAAGAAAGATTAGTGGAAAGTATAATAGAATAAAATGACGATCAAGTAACCAGAACTTAAGAAAACAAAACTCACAGAATACGTAAAAAGTAAACAAACAGTTAGCTAATTTTTTTAAAATAAAAACTCAATTTTTTTTTGAGCTAATTATTTTATTGATACTGAATGCTCTTTTTCATCTTTTACTGTCTTTTCTTGTACAAATTATTTGTATTTAGACAACCAAAAACTTTGGTTTTTTGACCGTTTTTTTTTAGCTAAATAGTTTTTTTTTTGCAGTTTCGGTTTCGTACGACAATAACAAAAACTGCGACTGCAACGAGACGCCGATGAGCGGCGATATTGATGACTGATGGACATTGGGGTGGGTACAGTGATATTGTGTAACACTGTTCGAGCACTTTTTCCATTAACGGAAACTGTTTGGGATGGTATTCCAATAATTGCCGTTGATACTGTCTGTTCAACTGAGCAGTAAAGACAGTCGAAACAATAAAAAATCAAAAAATCAAAGAAAAAAAAAGGAAGAAAAACTAATAGTGTTTACCAATTAATAAATAGTAGCAAAAATAATAAATAATAAAAATAATTTGCAAACTGAAGCAAAAAAATAAAAAGAAAAATTAGTTTACTGTTTTCTTTTTTTTTTACCCTTTGCCTTATACCAAAAATAGATAAATTTTTGTATTCACTTTACTATGCAATAAATTTTTTTCGTAACAGCAGACCTTTTTTTACCTGTCGTTGTTTCTTGAATGCTATGACATTTTCCAATATGGTAATGAAAATTGCTCAACGGGTTACAAACTATGGTTTGCAAAACAGATGGCAGCAGAAACTATTCTATAGTCATTGGTTGGATACATTGGTATATATCAGCTTAACATTGGATTTCTAGACCAAAAACAAAACGGTTACCATCACCGACGAGTACCAACGATTTGC